TGGGCGCCCCCTGCTGCTGCTCCTGCTGCTGCTGCTGTTGCTGCGGCTGCTTCCCCACTCAGAGGAGGAGGATGATGAGCTGCTTGATATCTTATGATCTGGATGCTATGAAACCAAAGTAGGATAAAAAGCTATGGCCTGGCCCCTGGTTTTACAGCGTAGACATCAAAATCAGAGCTATCAGCCTCCCTCTGTAGGTAACAGGCAGACTGAGACACATCTAGGGTGTTATTTTATGATCACATGCAGACATGAACTACGTTGGGTAGGAACGGACCCACACGGACCTCCCTGCTGAAGGCCGTGTAGGCAGTGATTGCCAATGGCAACATCACATTGTCCAGGCCTGGTGTCAGGGAAAATAGAAACTGACACTGATTAAGTGGTCAAATTATCCATATTTTTTAGAAATAAAGAAGAAATTGCAATTTAGTCAAAACCACTGTAAACCACCTTCCTCTTTCACAAGCAGGATACATAACTTCACAGCTAACACCTACAAAAGCCACTACATTGCCATCCTTCTAACACATACTTAAAATATCTCTGTGCCATACTGCATACTGACCCTGGCTTCTGATACAATCCACATCCCTGATGATTTTTCCACAATTGCCTAAAAACCGTGGACACAGCTATTCCCGTAGGGAGGCCCTGCTCTTCTGTAATTCCCCCCGGTCTCTGTTAACTTAGCTTTGGCTGCCTTGTACAGCAGCCAGCCCAAAGGAGTCCTGACCCCAATCTGAGGATTGCAAGTGCCGCAACAACAGAAGGGTGTAGTGTGAGAGCCAGTATTTTAGTAGTAAATCTGCTTGTTTCGGCCATCCTCAGTGTTGTTACAGGACGGTATGGAATGATCTGGTGAAACGAACCCAACAAAGCCCTTCAGAAACACGCTTGGCCATATCAGCCATAGCCACTACAGGGATGCACTCTGAACTAGGGACCTACCCAGTGGACGTGAGCAGGCCTGAAGCGGAGCTGGTATACTTTTGGAAGGCGATATTCCTGCAAAATTCCAAAAGACGTTATTACCTACAGCCCGGTGAAGGTCACCCCTAGCAGATGCAAAACATTGGGAAATTTTACCCATTTCGTAGAGATGCCGTAACTGCTGTTAGATTGGGACCTGGCGGATTTCGCCTCAGCTCGGCTGTAGTACTGGCTGTGGCGACGGGAAGCACCAGTGCTTTCACTGCTGCTGCTGCTGCTGCGGCTGCTGCTGCTGCGGCTGCTCCGTGCTTTACGCCGCTGCTCACGGACGCTTCGCTCTCCTTCAGCAGCGCTGGCACGTGGAAGTGCGGTGGCCTTGGACTGCTGCTTAGCCTTACCCTTCACCCCAGGTGGGCTGCTGCTGCTGCTGCTGCCTGCGCTGCTGCTGCCTGCGCTGCTGCTG